TCTCTGAATTCTTCTAATATTTCTTTGTCACTTAACAGCGCACTTTCCGATGTCATAACGCCGTCATCTGCCTCAATGACATCTTCAGCTCTTCTGTCGGTGCCAGTTCCGCGTCTTTCTGTCTCAATGCATCGACATGTTAATAACTTTTATAAAGCACCGCATATACAGTAAAGGGATTAATGCACAGAGAACTGTTTTACACAATTATAAAGGGATTAACGAGCTGTGAAATGTTCGAAACTGTTATTACATAAATATATATTCTAATTTCCGACAGCGTCTGTTCTTTTTCATTCAGCTGGTAACTTAGGCATGAGTCGCACTTGGCAAAGTTTGGTGTGAATATGGTCACATTGGTATAAAAATCTGTCATCGGGGCACATTGCCTAATGCGACCCTAACTTTTCCAGTTCCCAAAAACTTTGAAAACCGGCCAAAACATCAAAGACGCCGTAGTGCTTGGTTGGGGCAGGTAGATTTCGGAAAACTCGGGCTAAACAATAGCTATCACAGCGGTAACTGTCATCGCTTGTGTTACGTGCACGAATGACCAACAAATGTCCGCTAACAAAGCATATATGAAAATAGACTCCCGAGTACGATATATGGCACGCAACAAAAATGTAACGACAAGCAGTTACCCATTTTAACTATTATTTAATTAGTTTTACACTGTTTAATCTACTTAGGTTAGAGATTAAGTTAAGCAGTTCATAAAGCAGGCTTTCAATCCTTCATGCCGCGTAAGTGTTCGTCGTCTTGATCAACTTCCANTGCGGATTGCAGAAACTAAATTAGCTCCCCACATGTTTGGGGAGCTAATTGTTTCGATAGCGAAAGACTGGTTTTCTTACTGAGGATTAATATTTGTTATTTTCAGGAGATCGCGAGCTTGAAATACCTGAGTAAAGCAACTAGCAGAGATGTCACTGTTTGCAAAACGCTTACTGTTGATCACTAAGGCATGGGTCGCACTTGGCAAAGTTTGGTGTGAATGTGGTCACTTTGGTGTAAAAATCTGTCATCGGGGCACATTGCCTAATGCGACCCTAACTTTTCCAGTTCGCAAAAACTTTGAAAACCGGCCAAAACATCAAAGACGCCGTAGTGCTTGGGTGGGGCAGGTAGATTTCGGAAAACTCGGGCTAAACAATAGCTATCACAGCGGTAACTGTCATCGCTTGTCAGTAAACAGCAAACGACTCGACTGGTCGCGGAACTGACCAGGCATATGGCGCTCGAAGTAATCTTCGCTGACGTCGATTTCTCGCTCTCATCATAGCGGCAGTCAAAACAGTTAAACAGGCGTTAACCCATCTTTCATAGATCATACGAAAGACAAAAAAGTGCTCGTGATTTAACTGAATAAGAAGAATAAGCATCACCGTGATCGTTATTAACAATGCTTCAACGGGACGCATTTTTTTTAACGTTTGTTTTCCTTTTTCAGCTCACTGCTCTCTGCTCACTGCTCATCTCCCCACGTCGATAAACGTGTGTCTGGTTTATCAAAGTGTCATCACTGACATTTTTTTCACCTAGTGCGACCCTGATAGTTGAAAGTTTGCTTTCCGGTTGCGGTTTCAAATTTTCTGCGGTTTTTTTGCCGGTAAAGTTGAAAACTTTGCCCAAGTGCGACCCATACCTTAACTTCGAATTATCGGGGTAAAATCCGACCTAAGGGAACAGAAATTACTTCGAATTAGCGGGGACTTCGAATTATCCGAGGAAAAATGACTGAGAAAAGTGGGGCAAAACTAAGGGAAATGCATTTTACTTCGAATTAGCGGGGACTTCGAATTATCCGAGTTCGAATTATCGGGGTCCAACTGTACAAGAATTTTTGAGATTTGTATTTCCTTTCTCCAGTGGAAACTGTCTTTATTTGTAGTGGTAAATTTGAGATCGAATTAGGTGGTTCGCACGATACCTCATGCCACCATGCTGCTGGAAATAAACAATAGATATCTCATTAGCTCCTTTTGTTCGTCTACCGGCATTTAAATTTGACCCGCACACGTCAACGGTGAGTGACAGCCTAGGTCTTCCCCAGGGAAGACTTCATTATATGGCGCGCCTTCGTGTTTAAGAATATGTTCACGAAGCTGGCTTCTGTCCACCGTTACCAGACTAGATCTGTTACCAATGAAAATTATTATGTTGAACAAGTTAGAACTGAAAATATGAAGAGAGCCTTCTCCATTTCTGGCACCTTGATCTTGAATAGTATTCCACTTCCTATCAAAGCACTTAAAAAACATCAATTCAAAAGCGCAATAAAGGAAAAACTCTTTGAAATTCTGAAAAAAGAGGATGATTATATAAGAATTGCTGATATTTGAGCTCAAAATTATAACTGTGTGTACTTCCAGTATATACTACAGTCTGCCCTCCTGTTTCATTCTGTCTATAAACCACACGGCAAACTAGATTTCTTTTAGGATTCTTTTTGTCTATATACTATAATTATATATATAAATATTAATTTTCTAGGGAATTGTTTTGTTTTTTCTTTGTTTTTTTATCCTCTCTTGTGCCCGCCCCAAATAGCCCTAGCTACTTGCCAGCCCAAGCATTGTGATTTTCTGATATCATGCTTAAATAAATTTGTTGTTGTTGTTGTTGTATCGCTTTCTATTATTGTGTGACAGTACCTTTCCGGGCCAACATTGCAAAATTGTATACATGCATTTCCTACTTGTCTTCCAATCACACGATCTTGAGCTTCAGAACAAGGAATTAGTTCCAAATTGTGTACAGTAGCTTTTTTTTAGATTTACACAGATTTTGCTCAAACTTGCAGTGGGAATCTTTCTTGGTACTCCTAAATATTGGTGGATGTTAATTAAGTTTGATGACCATGTTCCAGCGGGTTTTGCAGATGTTTTACTGAGTGTATGTAAGGTTCAAATTTAGCTGTGTAAGAAAATTTCTCTCTATTTTTGAAACAAAAAAAAATTGGACCAGGAGCATGAAATACTTATATTTGAATAATTAACATTATTCACCAGTGAGTCGTCAGTATCACATTATTTACAAAAAGAGTGCAGAGGTCGAGCTCATGGTATGTGATTGAATTCAATTCACAATGTAGACAGAAATTATATGTGCCTAATGGCCCATCCAGCATCAGGTTGCATGAGGACATATTTATTTAACAGCACATTCTGGAATTCTCTGTTTCATTCATGACCAGTCCTTTTCACTAAGTCAACCTTTTCGTTAAAATTTGATATAACTTGAAATTCTTATTATATCAATTTGAGAAACTTATTGCAGTTTACTTTGGTTCTCGTTAGACATGAAAATAAACCAATTTTGGTATTAAATAAAAAAAAAAAACAGCGTGCACTGCACTGATCAATTTCTATAAATGACCACTAACTTTTTCTCACCATGATCTCAAAAGTAATTCTCCTAACTGTATACCATATAATTCTTACGATGTTGGTTTTGAGAATTTAACACAGGATTAGCTAATAATTTCCTAATCAATATCATATTGGCACCACTTGTGTGCTTGATACTGTAATTAAATTGAAATTGTAAAGAGAAACTCCATTGGGGTCACTCATGAGAGCCGTAGGGCTTTAAGAGGAGTACAACTTATTGGGCAAACAAAGCTTGCTTTCCCTGTCATTTTATCATTATTTATACCTGTTACTTATAACTGGCTCCTAGAAGTCCCTTTTATTCTACAACTGTGTGTTGCCAGCAGGAAACAGGCTGACTTTTTTTACAAGGATGACTAAAGGGCTTGGGAATTCAAGGAACAACCCTGGGGCTAAGTCAATGTGGGGTTTGAACCTGAGAGGCACCAAGTTGGCACTTACTCTGGCATTGCAAATTACATTATAAATCACAGAAAATAGAGTCAGAAAATGTAGAATCATGGCTATGACTAATCCTTGTAAAACGGTTAAAAATTCGGATTCAGAAGTATTTGATGTAGTCCTCAGAATGTTCAAATTTGAGAGAAAGCAATTTTGTTGACTAGCGATGAGGCATGCTCTTGCAGGTGGGTAACAGTACCAAATCAAATAATTATTAAACCTTTCAAAAGAGATGTAAATTGCCAGTGGGTTCTGAGTCTGTGGTCTGCAGTCTTTTCATTATTTTGTAGAGACAAACTTGGAATTTTCAAGATAAATGTGAAGGGAGATGTCATCTCAATTTTTGATTCACTACATATTAGTTTTCATTCCATGTTTTCTTTGTATGATTATTTGTGAAGACTATTTAAGTAGGACTTTCACCCCCCAACATCCTGGCTAAGCTTAGATAGTTTAGATGGTTAGCAGAAAGCCTTGATAATTGTAGGAGGAAAGTGGCATTTACAGCAAATAAAATGATTTTTACAATATCTTTTATTATTATCCAACTACACTCCGTAGAGTACAAATAACGCCATAGACGAGTACAAATATCACGCGGTATTTGTACTCCTGAGAACCGGTTAGACAGGTTTTCTCGCATCGCGAAATCGAAGAATTGCCAAAAAAAAATGGCAGACAATTTTAATCATATTTCTGACGACGAAGAGTCGGAATGGCTGGCAAATATAGATCCAAGTTTATTAGGTAAATCGAACGAAGAAAAACAGCTAGACGACCTGGAAATTTCTTCATTTATTGAAGAAAATAGAAACAGCAACACGACAGCGCGCCAATTCCGTTCTGCTTCGCATACTTCTGTTACGCACTCCTCGTAAAAAAACATCCGTGAGATTCGCCCGAACTGAAATAACCATTTGGCGTGTTGGATAATAAATAACTTATTAGTCATTTTGTTGTGTAGCATCGCTGAGTATTTTCACTCGTTATTTGTTTTTTGACGCGCCCGCAGGGCGCGTCAAAATACTGCACAGCTCGTAAAAATACTCAGCGATACTACACAACAAAACGTCTAATAAGATATATGAATGAACACTACTTATCGAGCTGCAATACTTTAACCTTCTGTTTGTCTGTTTGTTTTCATTTAAGATTTATCCAAAAATGGAAATGACAACCAATGAGCAGAAACGCTGGATGGTGGTTGGAATTGTGATGGTCGAAGTGATTGCTCCGGTGATGCCAGATGTTGTCAAGCAAGGGATGATGTCACATTATAACCAACTGGACACAATTTTATGTCCCTGTAAGCTGAATGCACTTACGTTTGCAGACTATAGGAGGAATCCCAGCCTCAAAGACTTGAAGTTTGAGAATATCAACAACAACAGCCAAACTCATGGAAAAGACAAGAATAAAAACAAATTCAATGTTTCATCTGAACTGGACCTTGCAGAATTGTATCTTCCTGATTACCTTACAACATTCTCAGCATTTGATGAGTCTCTTGACTTTAGTGCCATTCTCCGTCTGCTTGGATATAGCAAAACAGGTCCCATCTTTCAGTCACCAGACCCAATGCTCCTTATTCAGACAGCAGCAGATACTGTTAGAGATCATGTCAGAAACAAGTGGGCCCATGCTTATCTCAATGAATGGACTGAGACTTTCTTCAATGACTGCTTCACCAAATTTGAGAATTTAGTGAAGAGTGTTGGCAATAGTGGGAAAGAGAAGAGCACACTAGACCAGCAAGCAAAATTGTACTATAAGAATAGGATAAGTGGTCTGTTGATTGTCTTGCTTAGATTTTATGATTTTCAAATGGTGATTTGGGGCATTTTTGGTGCTCTTGATGCAGTTGAACACTTTTTCAAAGGGAGGAGAACGAGATGCCTGAAAATATAGACTGATTTCTTCTTTCATCAGAATTGATCTTTTTTCCGAAAGTTTATACTCACTCACTTGTGCCCTCCATTCTGGGAGTAATCAGCATCTGTGGCCATGAGGCCTTTGGACCCCGTCTTTTTCAAGGGTCCTTCCTTTGGGGTCCCTCCTCTTCAGCATCCCTCTCTTTAGGGTGGTCTTCGTGATGGAGGCTCCCTAACATTCAACATGATCATTAATTATATGAAATCTTGAGGAACAATTTTACCATTTCTTTCTTTAAGGCTGTGAAATAGTTATGCCGCATGCTGTTGATCAGCAGCTTTTGAATTTGGTGCAACAAACGTACCACTGGCGCACGTCCGTAAAGAATTTGAAGCTCTTCAATCAACCGTTGCCTCCATCCAAGACCAACAACAAACATCAGAAGCCACGTAGAGTACCAACAGCAGAGAATTAATAAAGTGGAAGCTATTCAGGCTGAAGATGCCAAGAAAACGAAGGAGAACTACAATAGCTTGGCAGAAATGATCAAG